GGGTGTAGGGTTTAGGGTTTAAGGAGCCCTCCAAGGAACCCTTAAGTGGAGCCCTTTGAGATCTTAGGGGATTTGGAGTTTAGGGTTTAGGGTGGTCCCTGGAGACCCAATGACGAGGGTTCAGGGTTTTAGGGGTTCAGGGTTTAGGGTTTAGGCGTTTGGATAATGAAGGGCTTTCCTTCGCAAGAGATCTCGCACATCGCCTGTGTACACACCGTGTCTGTGAATGCTGCCAAACTACACAACAATGTTGTAAGAAACCCTAAACCCTAAACCCCCTTAACCTTTTTTTAAACCCTATAAACCCTGAACCCTTAAATCTCTCAATCCACAAACCCTAATTAAGTCTTCTAAGCTCCAAACCTACCATAACACACTTTTTTGTAGGTTCTTATTATAAATATGGGATTTATAGGGACCCAACAAAAAAAGTAGGTTCTGCTAGGTTAAGGTCTTATAAACCCTGAACCTTAAACCCTTAAATCCCTGAATCCAAAACCCAAAGTCCCCTAAACCCTAAACCCTAATCCCTAAACCCTAAAACCTAAACCCTAAACCGTGTCTTCTAGGCTCCAAACCCCATATCCTCCGCCAAGGTCGCTGGCGCCTTTCCGGGACAGGTCATCAACTGCACGCGGAACGAGGCAAAGGGATAAACTACCCATAGGCCCTAAAGTAGTTCCTTTTGGGGGGGTTCATGTATAGAATGAGGCAAAGGGGATAAAGTAAAGAAGCTTCAGGGGCATAAGGTTCCGGTTTGGGCTTAAGGGCTCTTGGGCTCCTGAAGTTTAGGGTTTAGGGTGCAGGGTTTAGGGTTCCGGCTTGGGGGATTAAGGTTTGGGGTTTGGGATTTAGGGTTTAGGGTTTAGGGTTTAGGGTTTGGGGTGTCGGTTTGGGGTTTGGGATTTAGGGGCTTAGGGTTCCAGTTTTGGGGTTTAAGGTTTGGGGTTCGGGATTTAGGGCTTAGGGTTTGGGATTTAGGGTTTAGGGTGTCGGTTTGGGGTTTAAGGTCTAGGGACTGGGTTTAGGGTAGAGTACGTTGTATCCAGAGGCTCCAATGTAGTTCCTTTTAGGCTTTGTTATGGTTTTGAATTATAGTTTACTATCCAAAAAGGAGCTACATAGGAGCCCTTGGGTATTTTAGGGTTTATAGGGTTCAGTGTTTAGGGGTTTAGGGTGTAGGGACGTAGTAGTTTAGGGTTGCGGCTTAGACTATAATTTCCTATTACCTGCCCCCAAACCCTATTCTAGTTTTTATAAGGCTCCTGTATCCTAAACCCTAAACCCTAAACCTTAAACCCTAAACCCGTAGTTAGCACGTTTTGGAGATGCGGGGAATGCGGGGTTCGTGGTTTCCAGCCTTGGTTTCGGGCTCTGTGGTGCGGGGTTTCGGAGGAAGAGTCGGCTGTGAGGTTTTGGGTTTTGGGTTCAGGGCTTTGGGGTTTGGGGTTCAGGGTATAAATTAGGGTTCAGCCCCAAAAGGAACTGCGAAAGGAGTTTGTGGTTTAGGGTTTAGGTTTTAGGGTTTAGGTTTTAGGGTTTAGGTTTTAGGGTTTAGGGTTTAGGGTTTGAGGGTTTAGGATTTAGGGATCAGGGTCTAGGGGCTGTGGGATTAGGGTTCAGGGGTTGAGGGTTTAG